TCTTTAAAGGGATGTTTAGACATGACGGGACTGAAAATAGTTTCCCGGTGATTTTTATACTCTTTGAATGATGTAGATCTATAACAAACATTACATAATGTCCGGAAAAATAAATTTTGTACAAATTTTGTTGAAATGTTGGAATATGTGTAAAAGGAAAAAAGTAGATCCCGACTAGGAGATCGTTTAATACTCTACCAGAAGTTTTATTGTTACCAACTCGTGATTTTAAATTTTCAAATAGTAAATTTATATAATGTGACTGGAAATCAAATAAGAACAAAGCCGTATCTAACAAACATAATAATAACAACCACCGTTTTGATAAATCACCATCTCTATCTATACTACCATAATAAAGATGTTCTTCTAAGATGTCTATTTGAAGGTGCCCATTCTAATACGTTAACATGATACAATAGTCCATTGTAGCTTGCAATGAATATTTGATTGTCAAAACATCTTTTTCTTGAATGTCATAAATAAATTAAACACTCCTTGAAGGGTGTTTCCCAGCACTCCATTCTCCATTCGAGGCAAGTCTAACAAAGCTTGTCCATTACAGAAGAAGGCATCTGCGCAGTTTCTTTCGGTGTCGTGGTCCCTTATAATGGAACTGTTGTTACTGTATCAGACATAAATGGGACTGAGATTGAAGAGATTTCGGTAAGCAAACAAGATACAATATTTAGGAGTATATTCATCAGCATCTATTTCTATAACATCAAATGAGAACATACTCGTCACACAGAATGGACATGAAGGTCAAAATGTCTTTTGCGATCCGTCAATAACAATCGTTCCTGCTATGAAGAAATATGTTAGGCGATGTACTTTTGCAATTCCATCATTATTCATTAGCCCGGCTGTCGTGTCAATAACAATTCGAGCTACCTATGAATTGGCTGATTTACATCTAAATGATTTATTTGCTGTAATCACTGAGTCAACAAGTATTTTGGTTCCAAATGAAGAAGTCGTTAACGTCGTGTTCATTGAGATTATCAGTGATGTAACATACGTCCTATATCACGTCGATCCATCCACTACGTTCAGTGCAATATTGCTTGCAAGAAATGAAACACTTGTTTGGTATTCTATATATCATGTTTTCAATTTTAATATGCATTTCAAATGAAATAAAAAGCTGTCAAGGACCACTCTAGTTCATGCCGCGCGCAGTAATATTCCAAGGGTTATATCTATAAGGAATAGTCCGAAGAATGTTTTAGTCAAAATGAAAGAGACTTTAATAGTTCAAAATTCTGTTTTTTTTCCAAAGTTCATCAGTTAAATATTTTCAAACTTGTAAGAGGTAAAAATATTCCATTCCGTTAATTTTATTTCAATATGTATCAGTTAGGATTATGATTATGTCTGATAAAACTGGAGGAGGGGGGGTAGACTGATAAACCTAAATTTATCTGGCACACACTTTATCGCACTTTATAAACAGAAATCAACGTAATGACATAATAAAGCATAATCATTATGAAAAAAAAGGAAAGATAATTTACATGGATCTGCATATAAACCCATTTTAACTAATAGTAGCACATGTATGTATCATTTCATTTATATAAACTTATTCTATCATTCAGATGTTTTATTAAATTATTTGCGTGTACCTTATCAAACATTATTTAGCATTTACAAGTTTGACTAGTAGTGATATTTGCGGGAATTGCAAAACATCCACGACGAAGACAAGCAAAGTTTGATAATAATGTATTTTAATAGAATAAACATAGTAACTTGCTGAAAAATATTCGATACATTTTGTGAATGTTTTTATGCTCTTAAAGGATACAGATGAGCCGATCCAAAGTTCCATAATTCCTTCGGTATTTCTATAAACAAATGCTTTGGTTTTATACAGCAAGTATATATAGATATGAATCATTCTCGGATGTCACGAAACAGAGTTTTTGTAAAAGGGGCAAACAATTTATAATCGAAAACTTACTTTTATAATAGTGATATCATAAAAAAAATTGTAACCAGTTTCTCGGATTAATCGGTCTATAGTTTGTTTACATTTATGCATGAATCTCTTGCTTATTGTTGTTTGTATCAGATTTGTTTGCTCTATAAACTTTTCATCATAAATTTATATGTGATTGAGTTCTTTTTTATAATATGTTTTATCAAATTCGTTTTCCAGTATTGGTTGCTCCATTTGGTTTTTATTAAGAAAGACATCAACACTTAATATACAAAAAAATAAATGATGCTCGACTGAAAGAACTGAAAGAACACAGAATTTGCATTTACGTTACAAAACATGCTCCGTTCATCTCAAAAATCAAGATTGAAATAGCCTGCTTTATATCTATGGTACTGTCAATTTTATCACGTTAAGTATTAGAATGAAATAAGAATCTTGAATTTGAACGATTTACGGCTTTAATGATCATGCTAATGAGGACAAGGGTTGTTGTGAATAATTGAGGTGTTACGATTGTAAGATACTGTGTGAATTTATTCATTTGTGAATTCAATATTAATATCAGCACTGAAAGACATGTTTAATGCAACCAGTTTCCAGCATAAATTTTCGTAAATATAGTTCTATACGAAAAACAAGATCAACAAGGAAGGACGGCATTCAACGGATGCAACCCCCTGCAAAGGACCAGCGGTAATTAGCTCAGCAGGACTCCAAACAGGACAGGACACACGGACAAAAAGTCAAAGAACGACAAGATGTCATTATCAATTATTCAAATAGGAAATCATTGAAGCCTATATTGTAATTTAAGATGAAATGCATAAAAATACCTACAAAAGTATAAGGGTTTAGGGGAAGGGACCAGAAGAACGTTACGGATGGAGGGTAAAAATGAAAATGCAACAAATGGAAGGAAATATAATTACAGTAGACGGAAGCGCAACAAGGGACACAGATGTTCCACCACGTACAATAACACGACATCTTAATCAAATTTCATCATAACTGGTCTGCTTCTTTCCACAATGGAAATGAAAATATGTTAGTAGTTATATCAAGGAAAATTATTTGTTTTTAGTATATATTATTAACTTTTTGTTTACTTTAACAATACTAAAACATATTTTCTAAACGTCAAATTATTCTGATGAAATACTTAGAGTGCCACTATCGGCATTCATCGGGCAGACCACGCAAATTTGTGCCAGGTTTTTAAATGCAAGTTATTATGTTCTGTTTAAGTGCTTAAAATTGTAAAATATACATTTTTTAATGAATTTTATTTATTAGAGAGGTCCTCTCCACCGTGTTGAGAATTATTTCTGGCGGCATCTATTTCTTGCGTATCAAATTGAAGTTAATGAATCTCATTTAAACCCTTAACTCATTACAATCAGTCTATAAAAATTGTTATGTGCATGATCCACTTAAATACTTTATTTTAGATAAAAATTAACATCGAGGAGAAGAAATCGGTAAAATGTAAAATCGGAAATATTATTTACGTTATATTCAACACTATGGACGATGGTTCATTCTGTTTTTTATCATTTAAATTGTATTTTCTGAATAACGTATAATTTTGCTATGTTTCGATAAATAGTTACTGTAAACACTATAGCTATTATATTACTAAAGACTATTATATGATTGAGGGAACCATGTACCGAAATTTTGCTGCTCCTTTAACTTCGGAACACCTCGCCGATTATTCCTTATAAGAGCTTACCCGGAGGCTGACGGAAAGAGCCGATATGTTGCTATTGTTCAAGATCAATCAGAAATTCTTACTTTCCTGCCATTTGAACAATTAAGCTACAGAAAGACCTCTCGCATGCTTCATAAAATCTTTTTGATATTTATCATCACAGTTCCAAGGTTTTTGATACACAAATAATAACATCTACATGTATGTCTTGTAAGATATTTTGCGATATTTCGAAAGCATTTGACAGGGTTTGGTGCAAGTGGTCTATCTTTACATTGGACTAATACTGTTTTGGTTATTGGTGGCAGTATATTAATTTGGCTGAGCAGCTATCTTTCAAACCTGTACCAAAATGTATTTTTGTAAATCAATCTTTCTACTGCGGGCGTCCCGCAGGAATGCTAATCCTGGGTCGGTTGCTTCTGTTCATCTATTAATTATATATGCGATAAATCCACGAACTTTGACGGCTGCACTGAAAATGATAAACATTTCCTTGAAAAAAAAAACACCACGCAATTCAAAACATCATGTTTGGTTACAGGCTTTACTAAATCGATATCAACTGAAAGGTCCCTAAACTATGATACAACATAAAAATAATCACAATGCAACTGATACCGGGTTCGTTATCAAGTGCAATATGACATTGGCATTTACAGCCATTTTACACGTGTTGTAAATGTTTCAAGTATTCTTCCTATATAATTGCGATAACATTAAAAAGATTTTAAAAATGTGACATTTATCAACATAAATGGACTGTAACAGTTATAAACTTCCTTTTACAAGTCGATTATGCAGTTTGCTAACATATGCAACTATCAACAATTCCAAAAAAAAACAGAGATCCACAGCTAGTGATATAAATGGACTGTAAGATATAAACTTCCTGTTACAAGTCAACTGCGCATATCGCAAAAATGTGAGATTGTCAACAATTCCGAAGATAAAAAGACTTGTTAACCTTTGAAACAAAATGTGACCTCTCTTAATGTAACCTTGATTGCATCATTTGGATGATCAATAATCAAGAAAAAAGTCTTAAGGTTATCTAAAAGAATTTGTTTAGTCATTTAGACATCTTTATGCATGTTGGACACCAGTAAACGCATGATATCAGACAAAAAACGAAACCAATTAATATTTTCTATATATTTAATAAATTTACAAAAAAACGCTACTTAAAACCGCATGCCTCCAGATGAGTCAAAAAATGTAAGAAAAATCAAACTTGAGAAAAATGTAATCAATTAAACCGGAAAAAAACACAACAACCCAACATTCTATAAGATAAGCGCTTTGTATAAAAGGAGCTACCCGCGGGCACGGACAGCTAGACAACCGAGTACTCATAATCATGGGTATTTCGTATATATTGGCTAAATATTAATACGGCTTTCAGGTATGTATATATTGCCTTATTTCGATAGTTTTTCACTTGTTATTATTATTATAATTATAAATTCATATATTCATATTTTCATTTTAATTATTTTATATTTTATCTTTAAAAGGAACTGTACCATTTTTATGATTCTGAAAAGAAAGTATCATTGAAAAGGGTATTTTTTATTTCATTTATTTATTTATTCATGGTTTTTTATTTGTTCATTTGAATTTTCCATTTTGATTAATCTATATTACATTTTAAAGAGAAACATCTTATTACATTTATTTTGGAAATAAGATATTTTGTTTTTAGATAAAATGAAAACAGAAAAACAATGTATAAGTATATATAATAAGATTTAAATAGAAATCAAATGTGTATGTTCAAAAATGCCTAAAATATCCGTGATCATTTATCATTACATAAAATATTCTAATATCTGATAACTTTATCGAAAATGTTTTATCTTAATTGTCCTTTAACGGCAACAAATCCATTATCACCTAATATCGAAATGATTAATTAAAAATATAGAACTGGGTATCATTCTCGAATACTAGAATGATGAAAAATATATTAAAAGTGAACAAAGCCCACCAAAACAACATGCCAAGTTACTTGCAAAAGTGTCTCTAATTCTACGTATGCTGTTTCCGAAATGATAACAACTGTGTGACTATAGAAGAACACATTTTTTACAAATCTTTTACTCTTTCATCCATTGAGTTATGGAACAATTTGGATGATAATATTAAAGAAATATGTGTTGTTTTGGTGTATTTTAACTGATGATAATATAAGACATGCGGCGTCACAAAGATATATTTGATACACAATCTGTTTCTAAATATTTTCTATACGGAGATCGAAGTTTATGCACGTATTACGAATGTAGTGATCTAATGCGGATTTTATTAAAAATATCTTGTGCGAAATATTTAAAATATTTCAGTAGTTATTTAATGTACATCCAGTTTCGCAGACGCCCAAAACTCCTCTTCTATTATTCAGTATTTGTTTATAACTGTTCCATTATTCTTTAGAGTGGAAGAAGCTATTGCTACAGTTGTAAGAACTCATGGGTCAACCATTTTGGTACTTTTGTTAATATACTGTTATAGATGTGTACAAAATGAGAATGAGAAAAAGTTTACATAAAAAGCAACAACAACAAAAATGATTTTATCGACTAAAGAATAAATTTACTGATTTCATCGTCATCTATCCGTATAACTGATAAGGAATTACCATAGTTGTTTTGATAATAACTAAGCAATGGAAATCATCTTTGAAAAAGAAAGATAATAAGCGGAAAACCGCTCGGATTTGTTATGTATCTTTGGGGTATTGTTTTCTTTAATGATTATTAGCTAGATACAATTCTGAAAGAAATCAAGGAGGTTTTACCACCTGATTCAGAAATATAACTACTTTTACTTGTATAACTACCTTACTCTCTCATTTTACATTAAAATGTATTGTTCAAACTAAAAATATTTCTTAGATATTTATTGTTTCGAATAATGTAACAGCAAACCATTAATCTGACCAGACAAAAAAGAGAAACTATAAGAAAAATGCCCATAGTGGGGTTTTAATCATGCCGATTGGAAAATATTTTTCCTAGGTGAGAATGATGTTTAGGGGGTATATAGAAATCAGCTTTTCAATTGGTCCGTCCACCGTATGGTTTCCGGACGATAACTAAAGTTTAGGATGAGTTATTGTAATCAAATTTCGTAGCAACCTTATATAAAGACTCTGGTTGTGATTGTATTGGAACCTCTGACGGCAAGGTCAAGATCACTGTTACTAAAAATAGAAAAAAAGTATCCTGTTAATAACTAGAGTTAGTTAGTAATGAGATGTGGCTATCAAACTTGTTATAAAGCCACCTTAAATGAATACCCTGTAGTTGAGATTTGCTTTTAGATCCCCGTGAGTCAAGGTCAAGGTCACTAGTTATCAAACTTATAATATGGAAAGCTTATATGAAGACCCTGGTTTGGATTATTCTTTGACACCAAGGGTCAAGGTTCAGTTCACTGTTGCTAAAAAAGAAAAATGTTTTCCGGCTGGTGAATAGAATAAGATATTGTAATACAATTTGGTACATAGAAAGTTTATATGAATACCCTGGTTGGGATGTCTTTGGAATTCTAGGGTCTATATCGAGGTCATTGTTACTTTATTGATTTTCAAAAGATAAAAGTTAACAGATGATTATAATCATTTACCAAGGCAATTTATTGTAGTAGTCATTGGTTCGTCGTTGAAACATCATAAAATATAGGGTGTGTTCAAATTTTGCACCTGACCACTTAATTTTAAAAGAGTTAAGGTAGCAGGTGGGGTATAATTCACCTTTAGTGCTAGCTCTAGTTTATTATTTATGTAAGGGATTGGCTGGCACACCACACTTTAAAGGTCATTTGGTGCATTTCAACTTTAGCTTAAATGTTGAAAGTAGACATCAGTTTTTTTAATGCAAAAGCGGTCACCAGAACAAAATTACAGATATTCCATAGGCCAGCTGGATGGCCTTCTCAACTTTAACAATCCATAGGCTCAAAATTACACTTTAAAATAATAATTGTGTGTTCTCTAATTTCAAGTATTTTCTTTTGATTTTCGCCAATACTGAACATTGAATAGTACTGTCTGTCACATAAGATATAGACACTTGTGATGATGCTCCTTTGATAACTTTGTTTACTTGGTTAACCATTTTTAAAACAATCATGAGGACTAATAGTATAAATTTTTTTTTATCAAAATATGACTTAATTTTATTCATTGTACTGATTGTAGGTATATTAATCTTCAATAAATTTTCGGTAAAGTTCGTTCGATGAGGGCAGTATTTGATTTTGTCTATAAAATGATCATATTGAGAGTAATAAATGACTAATGAATGGTTTTATAATAACTACATGTCCAGCGTGTTTCAAGGCCGGAACCGCGTAAATCTATGTGTGTTTCTTTTATTTCAATGTTTGTGCCCCAACTTTAGGGAGGGGATTTAGATTTACCATTGTCCGGCCGTCCATTCGTCCGTCCGTCCGTTCTCATTTTGTGTCGCACGTAGCTTAAACAGCATTTGACCTAGAGTCATGAAATGCTGATCAGCATGTGTATGTGTAGTTGTGCACCTGGGTATTTGCGTGTGAATATATTTAGTATTTTTTAGAGTTATTGTCCACGACTTCGTAAAAATTCGCAATTTTCAACTTGTGTCGCACGTAGCTTAAATTGTTTGACCTAGAGTCATGAAACGTTACAGAAATGTTGATCAGCATATTTATTTGTGCCCATGAGTATTTTCGTGTGGATATATTTAGTATTATTAAAGTTATTGCCCTTGACTTTGTAAAAATATGCAATTTTCAAATTGTGTGACATGTAGCTCAAAAAGTATTTGCAATAGTCATGAAACTTAATGAAACTTAATCAACATGTGTAGTTGTGCACCTGGGTATTTGCGTGTGAATATATTTAGTATTTTTAGAGATATTGTCCTTGACATTGTAAAAAGTTACAATTTTCAACTTGTGTGGCATGTCACTCAAAAAGTATTTGACATAGAGTCATGAAACTTTACAGAAATGTTGATCAGCATGTAAAATTGTGTACCTATTGTTTAAGAGTTATTCTGGTATTTTTAGTTTAATGAGAGTTATTGCCCTTGACTTTGTATAATTTGCAATTTTCAACTTGTTCATGCATAGCTCAAAAAGTATTTGACCTGTAGACCTGAAATTTTACAAGTATGTCAGCATGTGTACTTATGCACCTTGGTGTCTGCTTTTGTATTTATTCAGTATTTGTAAAGTTCTTGCCCTTTACTTAGTAAAAGTTTTTTAGTTTACAACTTGTGGCACATGTAGCCAAAAACATATTTGACCTAGAGTCATAAGATTGACAAAACAGTGCAGTGTGGGGGCATCCGTGTCCTATGGACACATTTCTAGATACTTATTAAATCGTTTTGCAATTATCTTAGTAAGACTTTCCCCTGTTAAAATTCTATAAATAAAAGAAATATCTTAAATCAAGTCATCAAAGCAATAAATGTCATTTAAATCCGTTACAAGACAAAGATCCATATCCGTGTGAACATGTTTGCAAGAATGCAAGAAATAGACCATTTACATTCAAATATACGGAAAAAAAACAACAACAAAAAACAAAACAAAAACAGATACTTAAAGAAGGGCTTGGACTGAGCATTCCTCTGATATTATAGGCAACCAATTAACAGCCTGTGTGACTTTTCAAATTACAAAGTACATATTCAATATTGATTTTTTTGTGAATTTCACGGGCAGAAACGAAGTTTGATTTAGATATCTAGATGAGTATTATTATGTTTTTATAATTGACAGTTCAATAAAATAAATCTTAGAAATGAACGAAAAAAAGGTGTTTCCTTAAGTAAATTAGACTATAGTTAGTATTTTCATAAGCAGGAAAAAATGGAACTAGATAAGTATAATTTTCTTTAAAATAATTCTCACTCATTACAAAAATGATGTTTTTTCATCACAACACACTTCTATGTCACCGCCATTATAAGAAATCTGTTTTTTTTGTGTGTTTATTATAATTATTTATATATCAAATCTTTCGACATTACTGTTCCTTCATTCTCATTTTTTTGTTCTCAGAAAGCAAAATTTATCTCCGATATTTTTTTTATTTTCGAACAAATTTCCATTTACTTTTAATTAATTTTATTCAATTTTTAAACATTTCTTTCCTTGCTTAGTACAAGTACTGATTAAAGCATGAATGTGATCATTTTTAAAGTACGTGTGAAATATTCTAAGAACAATTCTTTTTTGTTAACCTATTTTTTTATTGGGTGTGTTTAAAAATGGTCAGCAAATCACAATATTCAAATTTATCAACTTTTCTATAACATATTTATTAAAAAGGACTAAGGTCGCACTTACCACACCGATATTTTGAAAATTTTCTAAAATCAATATATACGAAAGCCAAATAGTATCAAATGTACAAAAGAATAATTATGCGAATTAGAAGGAGTTGTAAAGCGAAAATGGCGTAAAAACGCGAAAAAGGGTGTTAACGGCGTAGAAAACACAAACGAATACGTCGTAATATCGCGAATTTAAAAGATTTAATAATGCGAACAAAAGCGTTATAACTCGAAAACAAAACATTTTACATAATCAAAATACGCTTTCACCATTATTTGATTTACCTATTTACTGCACTTTTTACAGATAGACTAATTTGGAGATAGAATCACATAAATATAAGATACTAAACGGTTATTAGTTATTAATACCTATGTTATTATATATAGTAACAAAATCTAGGGTATTTCAGGGCCATTATGGCAAGATCTAGGTCATTATGCAATTTTGGCCGCCTTGCTACTCGGCATTATTTTTCCATAATGGGCGAGTGAATGAGCGCACGTACAGAATGACGTCATCAACTCTCAGTGACTTTAAAGTTTAAATGACGTAATCAAACGCAATCAACAAAGCTTAACATTGAATATTTATAAACTCAAGAAAAGAATACAATAACTCATTCCAAGACAAAACATGACCCTCAGAACTTCCAAAAAGGATTTCAGTTTGACGATATAGTTTTTTAAAAGAGACCGATCGGATCGATGGCATTTAGAGGTTGACATTGATCGTCTCAGAAACCGTTCTTGAAGGCACAAAAGTTCATAAAAAACTGGCACTAAATGTTATTCTCACAAAAAAATATAAAGAGTATTTATCGATATAAACAACAATAAAACAACATTGTCTCATATTTATTTTGTTTTGTCATTTTTTCAAAGTAAATCGAAGAGTTAACCTGAATGACAGATATTTGTTTACATCGACAACTGTCCGTTTCTTAGAAAGGGCGACAACCAAGATTAGTGGCGATGTCTAAATGCCGTATTTCGGACATAGGTATTAAAGACGTTAATACTTGGTTGCTGCTCGCCATTATGCGATAATGGCCCTCGAGTCCATAATGTCCTTCGGGCCTGCGGCCCTCAGGCCATTATGCACATCTTCGGGCCATTATCGCATAATGGCGAGCAGCAACCAAGTATTAACCTCTAATTTATACAGGACATACTCGTATCTGTAGATAAATGAACATGTAACATAAAATAAAATCAGATAAGGTTACTGTAGTGACATCAATGATATGATATGATACAATCATGTGAATTAAGAATAACTGCACGTACATCCGGCCCAATGTTCCTTTAATTCAATAACTCACCTTATACTGACACATATCAGAGAGTCACAAGAAGTGTATGACAAATAGTTATATCAGTATTGATGTAATGATGATTACAATGTCTTTTGTTTTGCAGTATAACGTCTTTTGGTGTGTATATATATATATGTATACGTATATCTGACACAAATGTTATATGTTTTTGTTTTCGGAGATAAATTTCCGTATTGGCTTATTTTACAATTATTGACTAGTGTTCCATTGAATATCACATGACAGACAATGGGTCATCAGTTAATAATTGTTTTATTATCCGATGAGCCGAAAATTAAACAAGAGGGCCATGATGGACCTCAAAACGCTAACCTGTATATAGGCCCCCGGGGCCGGGCCAATTTTAACCCAGGGTCTTCTATTTGAACAAACTTGGTAGACACCCACTAGAAGATGTTTCATGCTTAATAACTAAGCTCTAGCTTCTTGGGTTTTTAAAAGAAGATTTTTAAGTTTTTACTCTATACAAATAAGGAAAATCAATGACCCGGCGGGCGGGGCCAATTTTAACCCCAGGGCCCTTATTTGAACAAAAACGTTAGACACCTATTAGAAGATGTTTCATACTAAATATCTTAGCTCTAGCTCTAAAGGTTTTTTAAAAGAAGATTTTTTAGATTTTTTTTCTATATACATAAATGGAAAAACAATGACCCCCTGGGGCCGGGTCAATTTTGACCCCAGGTCTTTTATTTGAAAAAACTTGGTAGACACTCACTAGAAGATGTTTCAAGCTTAATAACTAAGCTCTAGCTACTTGGGTTTTTAAAAGAAGATTTTTAAGTTTTTACTATACACAAATAAGGAAAATAAATGACCCGGTGGGCGGGGCCAATTTTGAACCCAGGGCATTTATTTGAACAAACTTGGTAGATATCCACTAGAAGATGTTTCATGCTTAATAACTAAGCTCTAGCTACTTGGGTTTTTAAAAGAAGATTTTGTAAGTTTTTACTATATACAAATAAGGAAAATCAATGACAACCCCCAGGCAGGGCTAATTTTGACCCCAGGGCCCTTATTTGAACAAACTTGGTAGATACTGACTGGATAATGTTTCATGCCAAATATTTAAGCTCTAGCTCTTACAGTTTTCTAAATGAAGATATTTTAAGTTTTTTCTTTCGGTTAGCATGGCAACCAGTTCTCCTTGGAATTAAATCCTTTGCACAATTTTTGAAATTGTCTACCAATGGTACATTTCTGTGAAGTTTGGATGAAATTGGCTTAGCGGTTTATGAGGAGATGAAGTAAAAGTTTACGGACGAACGACGGACGGACGCCGGACGAAAAGCGATCACAAAAGCTCACCATGTCACTTTGTGACAGGTGAGCTTAAAAGTTAAAAATAGAATTAGTAAGTCACATGATACATGTGGTAGCAAGTACATGTACACATCAGATAAAATAATATTGTCATAGTTGATACCATTTATCTTACGTGTCAACAATAACTTTATCTTTATCAAAACTTACCTGTTCATTATTAACCTTGTAAGTCATACAAAGCTATTTGAAGGAAAGTCATCTTTAGGATAAAATAATCTTTATTTTTACTTTTTTTACTCAAAAAAATATTTTTTTTATTGTTTGAGAACATGCGAAGAGATGGGAAGAAAAATTAAACCGAGGTTCAAATAACTTTAAAACATAAACATACATCAACCAAGAACTTAAAACAAGAAGACATACAAAAGATATATACTCTTTATATTCATACATTTGTTGTTATCATTATGTTAAGTTTTTGACTTGTTAATTTTGTAAGTTTTTTACTTATAAAATTGCAGATTAAAATGATGCTTTATGTATGTTTAGTAATAAATAAAATAAATTGTATGAATGTTCAGTATATGTGTTAAGATATATGTTAAAATTGCGATAACCATTTAATCATTTCTTTTACATATTATATTTTCTTCGACTGATGTGTTCTTTTGTGTGTGTTTTTTATTTTTATTTTAGTAGGCCGCATTGTAAATAAGATATTGCAATCTGTATATGTCTTAATGTGTTACCTTTGGTTAATAAAGTTATTATCATTAATATTATTATGACTCAGAATTAAATAGAAAATGATATTTCTGTGTTATTTTTTAGACTTATTTGTTTTCAGACTTAATTAATTATTGATGTTAAAATAAAAAAAACATCGCACACAAGTTATTGATGCAGACCTACATCAAGTGGTACATAAATCATGCAAAACTATTTTTATTCGATCATGTAAAAAAAACCTACAAGGAGTCCCTTGAAATTCCAGCTGTATAAGCCAAGGATGATAATTTGTTTTTTTTCAATGCTTGAAAAATTACTTTTAAACTTCAAGCAATTATGATATATACATGAAACACTGCTTTATACAATATTCACTAAACTTGTAATCCATTTAAAACAGATTATGAACATATTTGATTGCATTTTGTCAAACAAGAGTCAACGTCAGGTGGAACCACACTCAATCTCTTCTACTTCTAAGGTCAAACACATTGAAGAAAGAATATTGCTATAAAAATACTCCTAGATAACAAAACGGTATTCAACAAATTATAATTTCAATTTAATACTTGACCTTGCTGGTAAAAATCACATTTGAATTAATTATCATTGCCATCTTCGTAGTACATGTCGAGGGCTTATGTGCAAAAGGGTTGTAACCTATATTACCTAAAGATGGAGTAACAACCCTTTCGCACCAATCAGCTGATGTATGACTTTGTTCTTTTGTCATCCAAAAATAAATAACAAAGATATGACAATTATCAGCCATCGGGATTTCAATTGATTTTTTTTTACAATTTTTTTCCAGAAATCTTTACAAACAAGAAGGCCAATATGGCCCTAGATCGCTCATCTAACTCATCGAACTCATCCGAACAATTACCTAGACAAACATTCTGAACAAGTTTCATGACAGGTGACCTAGAAATCATCAAACCAAACTTTCAGACCAATTTCCCTGATAATTGGATCAAAAACGTCTTTAATATACACATGATAAAAAATGTTTGCTGGAAAAAATACCCAAATTTGGCTGGCAGATAATCTGCATGTGTGAAAATCATGCAAAGGTCACTTTTGATTTATCCACCCTTTCTTCGCCATCTTTGCATGAAAAATTGTAAGAACACTCTAAATAGATAAACCTAGAATGATTATTATCAATAACTGTAAAGAATACATTATTCTGATGTTTGATAGAGGAATCATTTTTTAAAAAAATATTTTGAAGGTGAAACCCGTGTCAATTACACTAGAAAGAAAATTGATAATAAAGATTTTTTGAAAAGATGCACATGTTTAGAAGGACCTTTAACGTTATTACTGGTAGTGGTCCTTTGTAAGTGATAACCTGCTTTCAAAATGGCATTGTCATGTTTCAATAAATTTGATTACAATGCAAAAATGACCTTAGAAAATGTCAAGAACGGCAAAAAGAATTGTATTGACCCTAACCCGCGAATCTGATGATGTTGGGATGTATGATACTATTTTATAAATATATTTTTTTTACTTTAAAAATAATTTATCCAACCCTTTTTTATTACAGTTGCTTCATATACATAGTTCGCAAACAGGAAGCTTTAATCAAATTTCAATTCTAATGGAATTTAAGATTTACACCGTTCCATTCTCTACTTATCCAAGGGTAAAGTATGCATGCAAACACTTGGATCCGCTTCTTCGTCGTTACGATGACATTTATCTAACCTCGAGCCAGACCTCTTACAGAGATTATACCAACAAACAGGAGTTCAAGCTATGTCTACAAACCTTGGGCGGTGATCGAGATATTGATATCAGAAGTGTAACAAAACAAAACGATGTACCTGATTGCATTACAGAAAAATGCGCTAATGTTAAAGAGCTCGTTCAAAAAGGATGTCTTCAAAACTCTTTTGTTATCATTGTTGCTTCTGATATCAATGAAGTCGACATACCTACATACAACAACGTTGGGACTATCTGCCTGGTGACTGACACGAATGACAGCCATGCGAATTGCTATCAAGGAACGCCTTTCAAAGGAAAACTTTACGAAAATGTCAGCGCAAAGATGGAATTGATTTTATACAAAGCATCAGGAATGAAAGGCAAATGTGATTATTTGCTGCAAGATTTGATAAAAAAATTTGAAAAACAACAGACAGGTATCTTTCATAAAAATTCGATTCTATTTGTTTGATTAATTAATTAGCTAAATAATAAGGCATTCAATGATTTGTCTTCCTTTAAAAATATTATGTAGTTGGAAAGAAATATTAAGTGAATGAAAAGAAATATACTACAAACTTAACATACTAAAATTAATTTCTTATTCACATTTACGATATTTTTATAATTATACAAAATCATTTCCGATTTTTTTTTGTCTTTTGTAAATATATGATTATTTACATCACTTTATGAAACATAAATTTATAGAATTTTTGTGTATGTGTGTGTGTGCGCGCGTGTGTGCGTGCGTGTGCTCGGTTTTTTCGTTGTTGTTGTTTTTAACATTAAAATCGGTTAGAAACAGATAATGAAATATGCGATAATTAAACATTAAGAATTATATTTTTAGAGTCATTGCCACAGCAATCGAAGTCAGTAGAAGACATAATATTAGGAGGTATGTTTGAGGTTATATATTTATATATTTGTCAGCAGTTTGCAAGAAAATCATCCTGCACCTTACTTTTATTTTTTCACTTATGGTTTACATTTTTCAAATATGTCCGTATGCGTTCATTCTTTTTTTATTTCATAGCCTGTTTCCGGTGAAAAAGTTTGTTGCATAACATGGTTGTATTACATAATTATAATTGTCAGCGGAAGATATTCTTTTGTGTCAAAAAAGTATTACTTATTCTATGAGATGAGTCAATATAAAAAAGAATATAAGAAAAACTTAAAACATTTTACAACTGACTTATTTCAGCAGAAGAAAACGTGCCCAAGCGAACTAGCTCAGTTAAAGAGAGGAATATATTTGGTATGCCTTTACGCTGTATATGAATACATTCAAATCATATGTAAAAGAATACTCTGAAGAAGTTTGCAACATGGCAAAAACCTTAACTTCCGTTAACAATTTCAATGCGAAATGAGCCTATTTGAGAGACAACCTGTCCACAAACCCCTTGAATTGCTATTAGACTTTTTTGTTTGAACTAGTATAAAATTCATCTATGACAATTCTATAGAAGGTTGTATTTATTTTAGAACACATTATTTTTGGCGACTGAATGTACAAAAATAATTATCAAACAAATAGAAAATATTAATATAAGATTTAAGTTTTGAACGCTATTTTGAATGATAACGTCCAGCCAAGCGCTTTATAATACTTGCATAGCAAGAATAACTAATTAACAGATAATGTTACATTTGGTTTAAGACACGTGTATTTATTTATTTTAAATACCATCTGTAATAAATGGATAAGGAAACATCTATATTGAACAAATTTGGATAAATACCCAAACATAAAACAGGGACAAAATGGCACAGAAAAATATTTTATTATTAACTCCTGGTAATAGTTGTTTCATGGCCCATCTAAATATCAAACAAACACACATTTTGACCGCACGCCAATATGGCAAATTGGCAAGCCAGATATAACAGAGTATTATATTATTAGTATAAACATTCGGAAGTGTCATACAAATAGATAAATATAGATATAAAAAGCCCATTTGGCAACAAATTAAAAGCCAATTTGGCATCACAAAGCCCACTTGGCATAAAACATTGATTACTGCGCGCCAATATGGCGTATTGGCCTTTCAAACATTAATGTATATATTTAGTAAATCCGGAAGTGGAAAGTGTCATACTAATATATACATAATTCCGGAAGTAGGAAGTGTCATACTTAATATATAAAATATGTATACTCACAAAAGCCCATTTTGGTATTTACATGTATTTTGTCTGCACACCCATGTGGCGTATTGGCAATAATATATTTTTGACTCCATGCTCGTATCTTTTAAAGACATAAGTAGGGTCATACCAATATAACACAGAAACAGTATTTACAAAAGGGTCATACCATGCACGCGCATCCTCAAAATTTTTATACCGCGAACACTTTTTCAACCGGTATTTTGAACAAAAACGAGTCATGTAAAGCAATCAGAATAGATTTGAATTTAATTTCTTTTGCAAAGAAGATGTCCTTACTTCTAGTTTTAATATTCCAAATGCCTTGACACAAATTTTCCCTTTCTTGTCAGTATATCGCTTTGAATGCAATTTTGATTCTAGATACCGCGTACACCCGGCGTTGAAATGTTTAAGAAATTGAGAAATTGTCGATTAAACTGAAAGTTCCACACAGCTGGCAGTTATTTTATTTTAGAACCTGTTTCCTAAATATATTTCCAATCTTTTTTATTCTTCCTTTGTACGAAAGATGTCTTAAAACGAACTTTTTACAGGTAATAGACATTATGATACTGCGTACTTTTTCAAAAATTCAAGATACTGCGTACACATTTTGAACACGTTCTTTGAAGCAGTCTAAGTTCATAATGAGATCAAATGGATAACATTGGCGAGCAAAAAAGTAAAATAATAAAAAGATAATTAAAATAAAAAATAAGATTTATATCCTGTGATAAAGTATGCTCCCTTATGTAGATATGCAGTAATATAATCACAAGAGCCGTAGGCCTACGGACATCTGAACGACATATCATGCTATATGTATCACACAGAGCAAATAAATCAATATGTTTTTCAATTCTTACACGTCAAGAAAACTTAAACATAATTTATCGTGTGGTTTAAAGGTTATGGATATTTTTCTAAACTAAAACTTTGTAATAAGAAGGGATCTTTTACAGAAATGAGGAAACTTAGTAATCTATAATATCATCATTATGATCAATGTTATCCTATTGCTCATTATTAAGAAACAGATGATAACATCCAGGTAACAAATAACACGAGCAAACTGATTGTTTCTAAACAAAAAGTTTTAAATATGTATACAAATGTTACCTTACTCCGCTCACCTTAAGCAATTTTTGGCCATTTCACTATGTAAAAGCCTTAATCAAAATATCCCTAAAATTTACCACAAGGAGGGGCTGTATTCAAAATTTGCATAAATTCTTTTTAAAGTATATTGGTTGATCTTGCAAATATAAAATACATTTACCGTGCAGTTTTTATTTCTTTAAACTTTGAAAATATCTGATATCCTATTTGCTTTTAGATTTGGCATTATTAAATACCAACAATAATGATATATTTAAAATCAAACACTTTTATTCTTTTCATAGGAGATTTAAGAGATACATAAATACTGTTAAAAATAAGAAAAAAATTTTTTTAATCAAATGTCCTAATGGGATTTGAACATCCCCCTCAGTTTCATGCAGTTGGTAGTGATTCTAGCCTATTTGAACGCTCAAAGTGGAGGTAATGCATTAGGGGTGACTTATCTTAAGATGCGCTAAACGTTATCGTTATACTATAGGTGCGTTCATGAGTAATGATTCTTTTTCATTTCAAAATATCTTCATTTTTGGTATATGATCAATAGAATATTAAAGTCGTGTAAGTTTAATACTAAATTTATTGAACTCGTTCAATAAAATGAATTCATGCTCGCCAGAGGCTCGCATAATATAATTTTATTCAACTCGTTCAAGAAATTCAGTATTAAATTTTTACGTTTATCACATACCCGTGTCGATTTTACGTCTCCGTAAAAATGATATTGCATGATCGTGTACATTTAAAGCATATGACGTCACGTCAAAATATATTCACGGCCGTGCAATAGCATTTTTACGAGACGCAAAAGCAGCATGGGTATGTGATAAACAGAGTATATTGAAGGTGTGCATCAACCGACTAAAAGCCTTTAAAGATCGTTGATATTAGAAACACTGGGCGAGAACAAAGTAAATCACCACCAAAATAGTCCAACTATAGTTTTTCTTGACGTGTTAGACTGGAAAAATTATATGTGTTATACATATAGCACGATATGTCGTTCATATGTCCTCAGGCCTACGGCTTTTGTGATTATATTACTGCACATCTAAACTTTCTCATTTTCCACAATGGCATTCAAACTTGCATTTCATGCATGTCAAGTAATAATACTCAGAAAAAAGCACACATGCCTATTCAAAAGTCACATTTCGAGGCGTGAAAGCGAAAAGGTTCTAACTGACATTTTTTTTTACAAAATTAACTTTTTTTTATAAATTTGTAACATAAACACCCATATACATCTGAAGTCAAAATATGTTAGATTTAGTTTACTTATAACAAGGTGAAATGAAAAATTGTCCAAAGGTTCTAAGTGAAAATCACCTTTTTATTTTTAAAAAAAAAAAGGGAAAATGTTCTGACTGCAATTTGCAGTTGGAACATTTTCGATTTTCTTTAGTATAAAATGTCAAGATTAAAAAAGCCCTTAAACTGCATTAAAATAAATGAGATCAAAACAATTTTGGAAGCTAAACCTTTTTTAGTATTAAATAATATCACATACGGATTCATAAGTTTCAGATTAGATGCGTTGATTTTGGGGAAAAAAACTTAAGTACTTAGAACTGTTTCGCAGTTAACTCCACTCATAAACTTATCGATTCTTAAAAAGCAAAACAGTTCTAAGAGTTCAAGACCAGTAACTTTCTTAAATGGTTTTAAGTGCCTGTAAAAATTGTGTGATGATATTGAAGGTAGGGCTATTGACGACAGTAAGAAATCTGATAATATTACTGAAAGTGAGACTTTAGCTGGTTGGAAATAAATCCAGGGACATAAGCTTTAAGCTGCAGTCTCACTTACATCCTGGCAGGTGTCGATGGTCCTTCATGTTGGCTGGAGAAGAATCCGAGACAAAATAGGCATACATTCATTTCTTTAAATGAGCTATAAATTTGATTATTGAAAATGCAGTGTGCGAAAAAAATATCAGTTTAGAGTGTAAATGAGTAAACAAATTTAATGAAACACATTAAAATATACCTTCTATGGATGTACATTTTAAGGGAGCATACTTTATCACAGAATTTGAATCTTATTTTGTATTTTAATTTTCTTTTTATTATTCGTTTGTTCGAAAGTGTTATCCATTTGATCCCATTATGAACTTAGACTTCTTCGAAGAAAGTGTAATCAGATTCAATAACATATAAATGTGTACGCAGTATCTTGATTTTATGAAAGTGTATGCAGGAAAAATAACAAAGATTGAAAATATATTTGTGAAACAGATTCTACAATAAACCAACTTCGAATTGTGTGAAACTTTTAATTTAATTGGCAATTTCTCAATATCTGTAACATTTCAACAACGGGTGTACGCAGTATCCAGAATCAAAATTGCATTCAACGCGATATACTGACAAGAAAGGGAAGATTTGTGTCAAGGCATTTGGAATATTAAAGCTAGAAGTAAGAACTTCTTCTTTGCAAAAGAAATTAAATTCATATCTATTCTGATTGCTTTACATGACCCGGTTGAAAAGTGTTCGCGGTATGAGAATTTTGAGGATACGAGCGCATGGTATGACCCCCCTTGATATAGAAAAGCCCAAAAAATTGCTTCGGATGGTAAAAGATAAAAACATTACTGCTTTAATAAAAGCATCTCAAAATTTTAAATACAATGTATTACGTTAACATAAACATAATATTCATAAACAATGTAAAACATACAGTTTCATTTTTATAAGTTTTAAAGATAAATTTAATTATGGTCAAAAACCTAATTTAAAAGGGAGAAAACTGGTAAAGATATGACTTTATGACAAACCAGGATTATCTCCCTTGAAGTTAACTGCATGAATGAAATACAAGATTTCGTATAATGCGTATTATATAAGAATCCAAAAATTTCCAAACACCCGGTATACCAGTTCCTTCATGAGAAAATTATTTGATGGTAAAGGCATCGTATGGGATACAATTTTTTCCAAATCAAAATATGTGAAAGACAAATATGGATAAATTGTGGCAATTTGTATCAGTTTTAATAAAAATCGTTCTGTTTTTTATATTTTGGACATTTATAAACATATTATGATACCTATCTTTAGAGACTATTCAGCAAAAAGAGCGCCTCTATGATGAAATGCTTGGCATGTTTCGCCGAAGTTTAATTCCAGATGATGAAACTTTAAGACCACTTGTTAGACAACTTACAGACAAACGCATTACTGAAGAGGTAGGCCCAGAATATGTAGCTTAAAACATAATGTAAAGTGATTTTTAACAAAACCCGTAAAAACATATTACATTACAAAAACGATTGGCTATCTGGTATTTATCACTGCACTGTCAAACTGAGCATGTCATCTTGGGTGTTGTCATGCTCTACTAATCCAAAAGAACGTCTTTTTCAAAGTATATTTCAATGTCACTGTAGATATTGTTCAGAAACTAAATATTGTATATAACTGAATAAATGTGTATTCACTTATCTCTTTCATAGAGTTTTACGTGCAAATACGACATTCATTAATAGTAAATCAACCTAGTTTATATATGAATGTGTATTAGTCGTTTTAATCTTGACACTATTTCATTCGATTCATAAAAACTCAATTTATCAATTTTCAGTTGAAGGAAGATCTTAAAAACGAAAGTTCATCCATAAGAAGTTGCGGATACCGCGGTTGCACTTTAGTCATTTTTGTTGATGAAGATTGCGATCCGCAGAATTTAAAAACCCGCCTAAAAAAATGCCTGCTGAAGAAACACAAAATCGCATCATTTTCCGTAGAGCCGTTGAATATCAAAGAATTTTGTAAGGTGGGGTCAAAAGCTGAAGCAATATTTGGTGATGGCAAAACCAGAAGGAGTGGAACATTAGGTGGCTTTGGTTATGCTATATCATGCAGTGGCAATGGAAGCAAAACCATCGGGTTAGTGTCTCGACATGTCGTTACCATTGGTGACAGTTCTGCTACCAGTGTATTCATTAATTCTGATGGAAACACAACAGAAGCATCTGTTGATATTGATAACTCATTTGCTGATCAACACGAAATTGTATTAGATATCGCATCAATTTCGTTCATGAATGATACATCTGAATTCGAAACAACATATAAAACATCAGAAAACAGAAGTGCAATAGGCGTTTTAACTACGTACACCACGGAACAAATGAAGGGGCTTCCTGTTCAAATATGTGGAGCGTGCACACCACTAGGACGTGGAACTGTTACAATGCCAAAGATTGAAGGTGTTAGAGACAGCTGTATGGATGAAAATTTTATTTTTGTCGAAGATGACATCACTGAAGGACAGGGAAATGAGGTTTTCTGTAAAGAACTTGATAGTGGCGCAATAGTTTGTACAGACGATCAAGATAATCCAGATAAGGTACAGTTAATTTCAATGGTAATTGGGGGAGACCTTAATGGGACAGGCAAATATGCAACGCTGAAGCTAAAAGAGGGAATCAAACAAGTTGAAGAAGAAACTGATTCTACTGTTGAACTTTTGTAACAGAACATCATTATGAGAATTGAGATATAGAAAATATGTGAGAATGAATGATGCTTGTTGTTTGATTGTAGACCTTAAATATAGGAAATATTAGAGGTAGAAGTTCATTGTGTGATTGTAAAACTTTGATGTAGAAAAGGTAAGGGAATGATGCTTTCCATCTGAGTGTAGAAATTTGATGTAGAAAATATGAGATAATGATGTTTATTGTTTGATTGTAGAACTGTGATGTAGAAAAAATAAGAGGTAAAAGTTTATTGTTTGCTTGTAGAACTTTGATGTAGAACATATGAGAGAATAGTGTTTTTGTTTGATTGTAACTTTGATATAGATAATATGAGAGGTAGAAATTTATTTTTGAATGTAGAACTTGAATACAGAAATGAAATATAAGAAAATGATATTTATTTCTTGATTGTAAAACTTTGCTGCAGAAAATATGAGAGAATGATGTTTATTGTTTGATTATAGAACTTTGATGTAGAAAATATGAGGGAATTATGTATTTTGTTTGAGTGTAGAGCTTTGATATAGAAAATATATAACGACGATGATTATTATTTAACTGTAGAACATGAATGATATTTATTGTTTGATGTTTATCATTCAAAATGTCATTATTAAGAATCATGAATGATAATCATGGGAGATAACAAACAACGAAATTTTACATTTCTGATGACTTAAACCTTTAAATGTGTGAATACTTCAAACATCTCTTTTAACTGATAATCAATATTCATATAGCCATTAATCACCTCCATTATTATCTGTACTAATAATTGTATTAAAAAAGCTTTTAGCTGCATGTATATACGGATGTAATCATTATAAAACAACGTAATATTCACATAACTAGTTTCTAATAAAGTCGTATTTAAAAATAAATAAAAAACAATTCGACAAATTAATAATTAATTGTTTTGTATTAATTCAGTTGTTGTAAAAGTAAAGTTGAATGACAAATAAAAAAGTACATAGTCGAGGTCTACTTTCATTTGTAATATTATTTAAACATTTAAAATGCAATGTTTATGGACCATTATGTAGACAGTTTTCCGCCAAGCCTTAAAACAGATTAATGCACACAGCAATCTTAAATACTGTTGATACTTCCAACATATATTTTGTTTTTTGTTCTATTTAAACATTGTTCACACTGTGGTACGTTCCAGCAGTAACCTTTTATATCTCAAATTAAAATATATACATATATGTAATTACGAAAAGGACAGGTCAGTAAAGACATTGGTTAAAGGGACTCCACTAAGTTTTTAACAGGAAATAATTTTTTTCGAGATAAATGTTCCATTCAATAATGGTTTATGAATAGGTTTGTGCAAAATTATAGATCATTTGCTCACTCCGTTTTTTAAGAATGATAATTACAAGTTTGAAAAATAACAATAAATTGATAATCGTCGCATCGCTTTTCACACAATCGTTCCTAGACTCAAACTCAAAAAGTCAATTTACAATATAAGTGTGAGTACATTTATTAATCCTCTTACTGTAGTAAGTGCTCCCGTTGATCTATTTAACAAAAAATGATGAAAAACTTTGGAATCACCCAAAAACTAGTTTTTCCATGTTAACATGTGGTCTTTCACCTAATTTTGGTGAAAATTGTTGTATTGTAACATTTATAATTTTTTTAGTTAAGAAATTCAAATTATATATTTTAAAAGGCTTTTGACTCTAGGGGTTTCCTTTAAGAAGCAAACATTTATTTAAGCTATTTTCAGCGACTTTATGATTTCTTTTGAATACCATGATTTTATATGCATAAATTGATCTTAAAAATATTTAGATAATATATTCTTTTTTAAGTCTCCTTCTCACATTTAGAAATATAATACACAAAATTAATATACATTTAAAATACGTGTAAGACCAATCAACTAATCAACTGGGATTTATAAGAGACATATGCAACAATTGTCATATATTGTCTTATTGCATGTATTTACCTGTAGAACAGCTAAGAACTGGAATACTCTTGTTAATATGATTTGTTTTTAAATTGTTTTAAAAGAAGTAAAAGAAAGAAAAAAGTGGAATAATTTGCCAATATACTCCACAATAAAAAATGGTTTTAAATTATGATATTCGTCCTTAATGTGCCTTCTGGGTACATGTATAGCCAATATATTGCTATTGTTCCAGATCAATTAGAAATTCTTACCTTCCCGCCATTTGAACTATTTAGCTGCAAAAAGACCTCTCGCATGCTTCAATCAACCTTGTTGATATTTATCATCACAGTTCTCAGGTTTTTGATACACAAAAATAACATCTACACGTATGTCTTGTATGATATTTGCGATATTTCGAAAGCGTTTGACAGGGTTTTGTACAAGTGTCATATCTTCAAATTTCACCAATAATGTATTGGTTATTGGTGCAGCATATAAATTTGGCTGAGCAACTATCTTTCAAATTTGTACCAAAAAGGTTTTGTAAATTAATCTTTCTCGAGTAAATAAATAACTTCTGCGGGCGTCCCTCAGGAATCTTAATTACTGGGACGGTTGCTTTTGTTAATCTACGTTTATGACTTCTTATAATCTATTAAGCTCAACTTGCTCTATTTGCAGATGATAGTTCGTTGTCGATTTATTCCGGCAACATGAATTTTATAGAAAACACACAAAATACTGATCTTCATACCCTTCAAGAATGATCTCATAAGTGGATAATTAAATTTATCCAAGATAAACAAAAAGTAATGTTGTTGTTTTTTCCTTACATGATAAACAACGTCTTTTTCTGTTCCTTTAAAGTACCTAATTAACTTATGTAAAAACTAATCAACACCTGGAACTTACAATAAGCGAAGATAGAAAATGGCATGAACACATCAATACTATTATGACATCAGCTTCTACAGTTCTAAGCTCAATACAAACATTGAAATTAAAATTATATGAAATATATTAAATCATATTTATTTATAATAGCAATAACATTCTCTTAAAAATAAAATGCAAAACAAAGCAGGGCGTATAGTTACAGGTGTCACTTTATCGATATACGGTATATAAAACGTTCTGTTTGATAGGCTTGGTATCATTGTTGGATAGGAGAATAATTAAAAAAATATATTGAAAGTGTACAATGCCAATCAAAACAACGTGCTAAGTTACCTGCTTAATATTACCCCAAAAGTGTCGCTAATTTCTCCAAATCTCACAGCCAACCCAAATATTTACAAATAAATATTATTCCTTCATCTATTGAGTTATTGAACAATTTGAATAATAATTTTGGACATGCGGCATGAATAAATATTTTTTAAATCTCGCCTCAAAGATATGATTAAACCTCAAGCTGTTACTAAATATTTTCGATACGGAGATTGAAATTTATCTGTTAAACATGCACGTATTACACAAATGTAGTGATCCTAACGCGGACTTTTATAAAAAAAAAAGAATATTTCATATATATCAGTGGTTAGCTATGGTACATCCAGTACTGCAGATGCCGAAAACACCTCTACTATTATTCAGGTTTTGTTTGTAACTGTTTCATTATTCTTTAGATTATTCAATAATTCAAGGAAGAACCTATTGCTAAAGTTGTAAGAACTCGTGGGTCAACTAGTTTGTTACTTTTGTTAATATACTGTTATAAATGTGTACAAAAACGAGAATTAGAAAAACAGTTTACATGCAATAAACAACACTAGACATATTTTTATCACCTTAACAATAGATTTACTTATTTATATCATCGCTATCTTAATGTAGAAGTGATAAGAAATAACCATCTATTTTGAATAATAACTAACAACAGCAAAGAGAAGCACATTGGAAAAAAAAGATAATAAGGGGAGTTCAGAAAACCGCTCAGATTTGTTATGCTTATGTTGTTAGGACTCGTGGATCACTTATTTTGCTACTTTTGTTAATATACTGTTATAAATACATACAAAAGAGAATTAGAAGAAGTTTTCATTTTAAAAAAAATATATGAATAATAACTAACAAAAGCAAAGAAAAGCATACTTGAAAAACATAATAGGGGAAGTTCCGAAAAACGCTCAGATTTGTTATTATCTTTAGGGCATAGCTTTTTCTTTAATTCTTTAAAGATAATTATCTAGATACAATTCTGAACATATGTAAAAGAAATCAAGGAGGTTTTACCACCTGATTCAGAAATATATTTATTTTTACTTGTAGAACTCCATTTTTCTCTCTCACTTTACACCAAAATGTATAATTTAAACTACAAATTTCTCTAAACTATTTATTGTTTCGAAAAACAGAGAATCATGTTCTGACCAGAAAAAAATAAATATATATAATGAAAAATATGCCCTTAGTGGTGTTTTAATTCATGTACATTGTAATATATATTTCCTAAGTGAAAAAGGATACTCCTCAGAAAGGAGGTTCTGCATTAAGCATCTAATATTTTAAACTATAAAGATTCCCAAATCACACGAAAAACGTAGATGTTGCGTTGGTTTTGTATTTTTCTATACAACACATCGACAAGCAATGTCAGGTTTTAACCATTTTCTCGTAAACGTAAAATTTGCAAACAAAACGAAATAGTAATATTTCAAAATAAAAAAGATACTGATTTTTAAAAGAAAACTTTGGCACATATCTTTACCATGTCAAAAGATACAAAAATTGAATATGAATAATGATTGTTTACGATCAAGAGTGCGTTTATCTTATTTTCATTTTATAAGTTAACTATTTATCGTTAGGTTTTGTCACACCACTCTTAAAGATCATGTGGCGCTTTTTCAGCTGTTCCATTTCTTCTTGTGGAGGAAGACTTTAGTTTCCCCACCGAGGATAATTTAAGGAGCAACCGTAAAGTAATTTGAACAATCGATCTTAAACAGACTAGCTGGATAGCTAATAATCAATAGCTTTAAATTCACGCTTTAGAATCATGGCACGATATCTTATTTCAAGTATTTTGTTTCGGTTTTCTCCAATACAGAATATTGATTTATACTTGTATGTGACACCTCGTTTCAAACATGAAATATAGACACTTGGATTTCGTTATCTACATATAAATTTTGTTAAATAGCAATGTAGCTCAGGTTTCCTTTTGTCCATTATCATTTTTCACTTATAAATTTTCAAATCGATTTCATTTTATCTTCGATGAGAATAAATTCATTGGGACACAGCAAATAGATATTTTCAATCTATGACATGTAGAAAATTTTGTCTTTGAAATGAATTAAAAAAACAGAATGACTGGACAAAATAAATATTCAGGCTTTAGTTTAGAAACTGTACTAATGGTGTATTTTTTGATATTTGGATACATTTATATGAAATGAAGGAACTTTAAGATACATATAACTTTTTTTCGTATGGAACTTCACACAAAGTATTTTAAAAAATCAATCTATTCATTAGCAGGGACATAATAATGATTTTTTTAGGTTTGTTCTTTATAGGATAATGTAACTTTAAAATTCTTAAGTTTTTATATACATGAAAATACATTTGTGTATTTTAATTTCGAGAATGTTAACCTTATTCAATTCATTTTTAATTAACTTTATTAAAATGTTAAACATTTCTTCCACTACTTAGTACAAGTAATTTTTAAAGCGTGAATGTGACCATTTTAAAGTATTTGTAGTATTCTAAGAACAATTAACTTTTGTATACATAATCCTTTATTTGGCGCATTTTAAATTGGTCAGCGGATCATAATATTCAGGTTTTTTACTTTTCTGAAACATAAATTTAAGAAATATTACCGGTCGTTTTGATGCAAGAGAATTAACCACTCAGGCATTCGTAAGCTTCAAAACTTCAAAGCGATTTTAAATAGATGATAAACACAGGTCAGACCGATATTATTTTGATTCTAACCAGACAAAGAAAGGAGATCACTCACTTAAAGGTTCTTTTTTCAAGCGGAGAATATTTCCGCTGTCGAATTCGTATAACGCAGTTCTATTTACCGTCTCTATGGTATAAATATAGATATTAAACAAAAGAAAAAATCAGCAAAATTAGTTCACCGTTTTGGACGATATAAGAAAGGATGAGTTCTAGAAGTATCGGTCACTACAAAGTGAATAAAAAGTTTACTTACGACAGGGCATAACAAAGTTTCAGTTTAAAAGTGTAAATTTGAAACCCATAAAATATGTGCAAAAACTGAATACATTTCAAAACTGATATTATAAAGAAAGACAGAAGACAAAAGAAATCAACAAACAATAAACGTCATTACAAATTATGCTAGTAAATGGTACGTTTAAAAAACCAAAGAATAATTGAACATTCTTATCCACTTTAACGAATCTTAAATTCCATATATATTATAAAGGTGTAAGACATGTCTGTGAAAACATAAAAACTGACAAATCGGGTATTTTTTCATTGTGGATTGCGAACTGTGTGCCCCCAGATAAGACGAAATGTATTTGATCAATGTCTGCGCTTTATTTGATTTAATGTGTTTATATATCTTTATCTTATTTGCTTGCTTTATCACTTCAAACACATATTTACAAACCCTTTTATTCCTTCATTAATTTAGTTTTGAACAATTTGGACGATAATATAAGAGATGTCGCGTCCATGAATATTTTTTTAAATCTCGTCTCAATGATATGTTTAAACATCAAGCTGTTCCTAAATATGTTCTATACGGAGACGAAGTTAATCATTATACTATGCACGTATTACGAATGTAGTAATCATATTGCAGATTTTTATAAAAAAAATCATTTTCCATGTTTACGGAGTATTTCATATATTTCAGTAGCTACCCACTGTACATCAAGTACTGCAGACGCTCAAAAGTCTTCTATTTTTATTCAGTTTTGGTTTGTTACGGTTTCATTATTCTTAAGATTATTCAATTATGCAAAGAAGTACCTATTGTTATTGCTAAAGATGTAAGAACTCGTGGGTTAACTATTTTGCTACTTTTGTTACTGTTATAAATGCGTTAAAAAGAGAATTAAAATAAGTTATTCACTTTTTTCCTTACAATATATTTACTTATTTTACTTTAATGATAATCATCTTGAATCAATTCTGAACATAATATTATAAAGAAATCAAGGAAGTTTTACCACCTAATTTAGAAATATATTTATTTTTACTTGTAGAACTGAACTACATCTTTTCTCCCATTTTAGACTGAAATGTATAATTAAAACTACAAATATCTCTAAACTATTTATTGTTTCGAAAAAATCGAAAATGAATCAGAGAACCATAATCTGACCAGAAAAAAGGAAGAAGTAGAAAAAATATAATGAAAAATATGCCCCTAGTGGGGTTTTAATCCGTGCCCTTTGGCTTAGAGAAAATGAATACTCTTCAGAAAGGAGGTTCTGCATTAAGCATCTGATATTTAAAACGAAAGCGATTCCCAAATCACACGAAAAGGAAGATGTTGCGTTAGTTTTGTGCTTTTTTTCTAAATAACATATTGACATAAAATGCCAGTTTTTAACCATTTTCTATCATATTTAAAAAAATAATTTGCATAGCAAACTTTCAAAATACGGTAGATTATCAATTTTTAAACTGGTCTTAAAAGAAACTCTGGCACATATCTTTACCACGTCAATAGATACAAAAAGGAATATGAATAATGATTGCTTAAGATCAACAGTACGTTTATCTATTTTTGTTTTTGTTTTATCAATTACTATGTAACTGCCATTATCTCAAATCTGCTTTTATCATAATATATATTTCAAATCTTTTGACAACTGTACCTCTATTTTCAAATGTTTTCGTTCTGACACTTCGGCAAAACTTATCTTCGATGATATTTTCGTATTATTCTTATTTTGTTATAGTCACAAAGAGCAAACCAAATTAGTTTATACAGAATGTATTAAAGTCCGGTTGTTTTGGAAGCTCTAATAATATTGAAACACTCTCTAACCAACCAGTACTAAGCAACGAGTATAAAAGTAAACAATGGCATTCCGACAGGGCTTGAACCCACGCGGGCAGGAATCCTGACATTACCAGTCTGACGCGTTATAATTCTGAGTTGTCTATTTTTTGTGTATCTTTAACTTTTATATTCCAAAATATTTCACATGTAAATTGATTATTAAAAAAAATGTTATATACTTATGAAAGAGTAGTTTTTTGTATTGGATTTCTTATCTGTCCTTTATCATTTCATTGGAATTTAGCCAAAATCGATAATTTCACTTGTTAAAAGTGTGAAATATTTATAATCCTATCTTCAACAGTAGGGCAAATAGAGTATATCGATATAGGACAGGAAGAAAAGTTGTCTTTGAAACTAAAAATTGAAACTGACTGAAAACGTTTAATTTCATAACACTAAATTATATCAAGCTTTATCAAGCTGATGTATTTTGGATATTTGTATTGTAATGTATATGGAATGCAGGAACTTTAAGGTACATCGTATAGAATTTCACATCAAGTATTTTTTAAATTAAATCTTTACATTAGAAGTTACTTAATAATAGTTTAAAACGTTTATTCTCTAAATGTAATGGGACTTTAAGATACTTTAAATTTTTATAAATATTTTAATTTTTTCATATTCAATTTATTTTAATTAACTGTATTCAAATTTTAAACATTTCTTTCCTTACTTAGTACAAGTAATGGTTAAAACATGAATGTGACCATTTTTACAGTGTATGATATTTTTAAGAACAATCTTTTTTGTATACAAAATCCTTTATCAGGTGCATTTTAAAATGGTCAGCGGGTGGGGGTTTTTTTTAACTTTTCTATAACATATAAATTTAAGAAATATTACCGGTCGTTTTGATGCGAAAAAATAACCACATAGGCGTACGGCCTTTGTTGTCAATTCCTAGACATCAAAACTCCAAACTGGTGTTAAATAGCCGATCAACACCGGCCAGACCGATAATATTTCAATTCTAACCAGACAAAACAAGAAAAATGGTTTCCTGCGGGGAACATTTTTAATGATATAAAGATATTTCATTTAACTATTTTCAACATTGTTTGGGGAGGGGATAAATAAACGTTTGTATCAGGTATATAGTTGACAATAATCGATCAATATAGAAGATCGAAGGTCTTTGGAAACTGGTGACCGTTGATGACCGGAGAAGGACGAACATAAAACAATTATTTCTTTTTAAGAAAATGATTAAATAGGCCTACCATTTTATGAATAATTACGAGCAAAAAAATAAATAAATAAAGCAAACACACAAGTTTTCGCAGAAAATATCTCTATTTATTATATACTTATAAATGAAATATTGAGAAATATTAATTAAATAAAATGCGTATTTTCATTTTCCGTATTTTCACTGTAAAAAATTTATTTTTCACTGCAGTGAAACATATTTTCCGTATTTTCACTGGTGTCTTGCCAGACTACTTTCTATTAAATTCTGCCAATACGCAAAATTTAAGGGAAATTCTTTCAAATTTTAATGTCAAAAAAGAGAAATGTATATAATAAACAGAAAATTCAAGTTTTTTCTATAAATACATGATTTATTTTCATCTTGTGGCATGAAAATTATCATATTTCACTCGTGGCTACCGCCACTCATGAAATATTTATTTTCATACCACTCGATGAAAATAAATCATGTATTTATAGAAAAAACTTGAATATCCTCTATTTTTATTATGGCAGATGCCACTGCGAATATTTTAATTTTGTAGATTTTCAGTTTAAACAATTTATTGTTTGTAACATTTTGAGATACATATTAAAGAAACATTGATAATGTTCAAACACATCATTCAAGTGTTTCCACCTTAAACGGTAAAATTATTATAGAAAATTAAAAGTATCACGTAATAGTTTTTTTGTTCTTAATTAGGTGTATTCTGACTTATGGACACGGCCTACTGAATTTTCGACCCATATATCCTATAGTAAATCCATCACATTTAAGGCTAAATTCTGGACAAAACAAATCCGGTACCGAAACTTCATGACCATTTCTTTAAACACCAATGCAGTCCAAGTAAATTTAGCACAAAAAAATAATACATTAGCCCTTGGAGTTTTTCTGCAGCTTTTAATTTCTGTAATCACTATAGAATATTCCAAATAGTAACTGGTGTGTATTCTTGTGCATAGTGCCTCATGAATCCTTCCACCCAGAAATGAAATCCTGCAAAAATACATCAAAAACAACCTTTAAAGTACTCAGAAATGAAACTTCATGTACATAATTACTAAAGATATACTTAAAATATAACCAGTATCAATTAAGATGATATGAAATAGGCCATTTCAAAATTTAAAAGAACTACTTTCTAGACTACAACGGGCTGGGTCTAATTCCGTACCGGGGTGACACCTTATTCCCTAGAGGATTATCCGTAACGTACCGGCAAACGGTATTTAGCCAGGTTTTCGAAAAGGTCAATTAACCAATCATGTACGGTTAACAGATCACATGCTCCTCCATGTACCGAAAACAGGTCACGTGCTTCTCCATACCTCAAACGTTAAACGCGTACCAATAAGGGAATAAGAGAGATCACTATTTAAAGGTTATTTTTCAAGCGGAGAATACCTCCGCTGCTGATTTTCGTATAACGCTCTATATTTCGCATCCTACTGTCTCTTATGGTATAAATATAAATATTAAACAAAAGAAATAATAAGCAAAATTGGTTGTCCGTTTTGGACGATATAAGAAAATATATTATACATGTAAGACATAATACTCTTATCTCTGAGTAAATATAAAATCCAATTACTTTATTTACTTTTCCATTGTAAATTGTTCACACGCACATATAAGACGCCACCTGTTTGATCAATATGTTTGCTTTGTTTATATTTTTGTATTTTATTATGTTTTAGTCTTAATTTGTTTTACTATCCTTAAAGGCCACTCCAATAACTTCAAAAACTTATAAATTCACTTGATGTAAAATAAATAACAGGACTGGTTATATAAAAACACGACTATTCTGGAAATTTGATACATCTTTTAAATATGAGCGGCGTGGTGATATTTCCGTAACCGAGTCGGTATGAGTGCTAAGGTCCCTCTTACAAGCATATAATATACCTTAATTCGGTTTTAATTAATGTAATTCATGAGGCCAATTAGATAAGTTCTAAATAGTATGGGGGCATGCCCCCCTGAAATTTTTTTTCGCTCTCGGATGCTCCCAGAAGCGTTTTCTGGTGTTTTTGACACAGTTTAAAGCCTGCCACTAGTTTATGTTATTCTGCATATCTCAATATGTTTTTACAACAGTCGGTGCATCGTAAAAGGTTGACCACCGATCGCATAACGGACGGACATCTGTACATAAGATATAAATATTTAATATTAGACAAATGAAAAATAACCAACAACTGATGTTGTTAAAATTTTTATCTGATATTTAACAATGAAAAAACAGAGAAGTGCGTAGATTGTATTTTTAACATTAATCACGCATGGTTAAAGCTAATCAATGGTCAATTAAAACAAAGCGTATAAGAGAAATAAACCTTACATCATTCACACGTATCGATTACTTTGGAGAAGACATTGATCTGCTGTATGTATCACATTAAAAATGATTTCGAAAGTAAGAACCGCGTCAATTTTACTATAAAACGAATTGATTATCAAATTCTTATTAAGCATGTACATGTATACAAGAGCAATTAATATGACTGCTGGTAGTGATTTGCTTTGAAGCATTGTCCTGGTTTAATTAAGTTTGATAAATAAAGCGAAAATGCTTTAGAAATAGTCATAGACGACAAAAATGAATGTAAATATATTGATTCTAACCCGTGAAGCTGGGGATATTTTGGGTGTATGATACCATTTTACAAATATATTCTTTTTTTTAAAAACAATTTGTTCAAGTTTTTTTTATTCCAGTTGTGTAACATACACAGTTCTCAAACATGAAGAATTAATCATACAACGATTGAAATGGAATTTAAGATTTACACCGTTCCATTCCCTGCCTACCCAAGGGTACAGTATGCATACAAACACTTGGAACCACTTTTACGTCGGTACGATGATCTGAACCATACGATCCAACTAGAAAAATGGGATCTAACTCCAATCGAGACCCCTTACAGAGATTACATCAACAAACAGACGTTCCAGCTATGTCTACAATCCTTGGAAGGTGATCGAGATATTGACATCAGAAATGTAACAAAACAAAACGATGTGACTGACTGCAGTAAAGAAAAATGCGCTAATATTAAAGAGCTTGCACGCAAAAGATGTCTCCGAAATTCTTTTGTTGTAGTTGTTGCTTCTGATATTAATAAAGACGACATACCTGCTGACTACAACGTTAAGATTATCTGCCCAGTGACAGACACAAATGACAGCAATGTTTCAGTGGAGAGTCCAGATGCAACAAAAAGAGTACAGTACGTTTACAAAGAACAACTTTATGGTACTGTTAGCACAATAATGGAACTCAATTTATTCAAAGCACTAGAAGTGAAAAGCTATTGTGAACGACTGCTCCACATTTTGGATGGCGTATTTAATTCTGATGAAGTGCAGGAAAAAGGAAAATGTGATAAAAATGATGAAATTCAAATTTTTAATGAGGGTTTGTGTTTTACCATACACATTAATGAAGACTACAGCCATTACTTAATTAATTACTTACATTAAGTTAAATACCTTCTGAGATATTTAGTGTTTTAAAAAAGAAATAGCTAAAATTGTTTTTAAACATTGATGTTTTATTCACCTTTGATATAAAGGAAGATATATGTAAAAACATGGACAAATTTATTTCCGAATGAAATCGTGTTAAAAAAGATAATGAAATATTATACTACATTTAACTTCAAAATTAAAATAAAAAATTCTGAAATATATTTTTAGTGTCATCATTACAACGATCGAAGTCAGTGGGATACGTGATTTCAAAAGGTATGTTGAAATATACGATTATGTTGAAATCTGTAATACACCCGAAAAGTTTCAGCACTTTACTTTTTTGTTATATTAACATGACTCTTTATTTTGTCGCTAAGCACAAAAAGGTAACATTCCTTCACACCGATGTTAAAAAGCCGATAAAAACCGCTGATAAGGAAAGTATCATTATAAAAACCTACTAGCATACATATTTAGCATCATCCAATGAATTACTGAATGAATTGTGACATGTCCGGTCCGTACTCCCAGTGCCTGAAACGACGGATGGACCCTCATTCAGCCTAAATACATACATACCGGTACATGATACCTTTATGTTTTCATATACCATGGTTTGTCATTCTTATATTGTTTTCATTATCAAATATGTGGCTATGTGCGTTAAATCGATCATTATTATTCCATAGCCTACTTCCGGCGAAAATGTTGGATGCATTACATGATTGTACTATATTAATAATTGCATGTGGAAGATATTCTTTTGTTTCAAAGTATAATTGAGGCAATTTAAAGTGAATTTGTTTATAATGGAAGGCTTGTGATACCATAAATAATTATGTTCATAGTATTTAGTATCATGCATAATAATAAACTACGAAAGAATTATACATGGTTGCTGATGGTATGACATACATGATCCGATATTACATATCTGTACGTGGCAAAAAATAAATTGTTCTCAAATAGAATATCGTTAATCATCATACTAATCATTTTGAACCTGATCAACATTTTAAAAAATATTTGATAATATTATCCACATGATACGTTGCTATTGTCTTTCTCATTAATTGAAATAGTCATTGAAAATATGCCCAATATAGACCAAAAGAATGAAAGAAAACCTTACAATACTTTATATCTGACTTTTATTTCAGCGGACAACATTCTAGACTATCTAAAGCGATCAAAATCGGATATAGAGAGAAGCCTGATTGGTATGCTGTTACAAAAACGATAATCTTAAAACATGATTACAATCAAAATGTGTCAAATACTACTCTCCCACTTATTGCAAAGGCCTTAATTTCCCTGTACAGTGTCAGTGCGAAAAATGAGCTTAATTTGAGAGGCAACCTGTCGATAAACCGCTTGAATCGCTTTTGTATATCTTAAATTAGTTTGGTTGTTTAATATGTTGTTTTGTCAATCAATTTTATAGAAGTTTGTATTTTTTCTAGAACACATACTTCATTTTTTGTTATCACATATATAAAAGTATTTTATCAAGGAAAGAAAATATATTAATAAAATGCTCAACTATTAAACGCTTTCTGAATTACAACGATAAGCCAACTAATGTATAATACTTTACAGAAAATGTAGTTATCCCTTTTACTAGAGCAGTTTAGTTTCAGTTAATGGTACATTTGCCTTGCTATTTTTCCATAGATTCAACATACGTGTTTATTCTTATACTTATAGACATTAACGTTGTATTCATCTTAATCTTTTCTAAAAAAACAACTAGGATATACGGATAAATGGGAAGTAAAGTCTGATTACAACCTCAAACAAAGGAAGAAACAAAAGGGAACAGTAAAAGATAGTTGGAAACATTTATCCCATGGTAAGATTCTCTTTATACAACAATACATAAATCCAATATTCTCCACATAGAGCAATTTCCTCATGAGTGGAATCGAAGTAGAAGTTCAATATAATTTCAGGGTAAAGGCACCGGACATACTATTTTCAAAAAACAAATGTGGCCATTATGCATCAATGGTAATAGAAATCCTTCAGTATACATGCAGATGAAATATGTGCATATGCTTTATATCTTCAGAAACAATTCAGCGAATAGAGCGTCTCTCAGATGAAATGCTAGGAATGTTTAGCCGCAGTTCTCTCCCAGAAAATGAAAGGCCACAGTTTATACAACTTCCGGACAAGCACCTTACTGAACAGGTAATTATTTAGACTATGTAGGTTAAAAAATGATAAGTGATTTTTAACAATACTCGTGAGAAAAACAACTGGCATTTATCGGAACACTATCAAATTGAGTATTCCAGTTTTGTTTTTGTCATGCTTTATTGGTCCAAATGAGCATCTTTTTCAAAGTATAGTTCAATGTCATTGTGTTTTTTTTCCAGATACTGAATATTATATATAATTGAATAAATGTTTATTCACTAATCTCTTTCATAAAGTTTTACGTGCAAAACGTCATTTTCATATATAGTAAATCAACCTAGTTTATATATGAATGTGGATAAGTAGTTTAAACACAATGACATTCGATTCACAAAATTTCATTTTATCAATTTTCAGTTGAAGGAAGATCTTAAAAACGAAAGTTCATCCATAAGAAGTTGCGGCTACCGCGGTTGCACGCTAGTTATTTTTGTTGATAATGATTGTGATACACATAATTTAGAAACTTGCCTGAAACACCTAATGGAAAAACACAAAATCGCATCATTTTCCGTGGAACCGTTGAATATCAAAGAATTTTGTAAGGTGGGGTCAAAAGCTGAAGCAAAATTTGGTGATGGCGAAACCAGAAGGAGTGGAACATTAGGTGGATTTGGTTATGCAAAATCACGCAGTGTCAATGAAAGTAAAATCATCGGGTTAGTGTCTCGACATGTCGTTACAATTTGTGACAGTCCTGCAACCTGTGCACTCATCCATTCTGAAGGGAAAACAACTGAAGTATCTGTTGATATTGATAAATCATTTGCTGATAAAATAAAACCCAAAGATGTCTTAGATATCGCTGCAATTTCTTTCAAGGAGGATACATCCGAATTCGACACAACATATAGAACATCAGAAAACAAAAGAGCAAAAGGCGTTTTAACAACGTACACCACGGAACAAATGAAGGGGCTTCCCGTTCAAATATGTGGAGCATGCACACCATTAGGACGTGGAACTGTTACAATGTCAAATATTGAAGGTGTTAGAGATAGCTGTATGGAGGAAAATTATATTTTTGTCGAAGATAACATCACTGAAGGAAAGGAAAAGGAGGTTTTCTGTAATGCATCTGATAGTGGCGCAATAGTTTGTACAGACGATCAAGATAATCCAGATAACGTACAGTTACTTTCAATGGTAGTTGGGAAGTACACTGGTAGGGAAAACATTAAAAAGGAAGGCGTATATGCAACACTGAAACTAAAAGAAGGAATCAAGCAAGTTGAAGAAGAAACCAATTCCTCCATTGAATTTTTGTAACTGAACATCAGCATGAGAACTAATATCCGAAGAAACTATATGAGAATAATGTTTACTGATTGTTAGAATTTAGAAAAAGAAAATATGAGAAAATTGTGCTTATTATTTGCTTGTAGAACTTGAATACAGAAAATATGAGATAATGAATTTAGATTTTCGATATAGAAAATATGAGAGGATGGTGTTTATTGCTTGTTTTTTTCACAAAACATGTTCCTTTTTTATGTTTTCCAGTCACAATTTGAATATTAAGACTCGTGAATGTAATGGGAGATAACAAACAACGAACGTGAAATCTTAACATTATCAGTACTTCATTCCTTGGTAATAGACTGAGCCGAGCCCCAACAGCTGTTGACATGAATAACATTTGTGACTCCTCTTTTCAGAAATGATGATAAACTTGACGACATAATTGTTGTGTGCACATGTTTGTGGTGTTTTTGGTTTCTTTTAATTCGCTTTTACAATTTGGGTGCCAGTATATTCACCCTTAAGACATGGTGCCTGCTTTTAAAATTTTACTTTATATATCTTGTTTGTGATATGCAAGCTTCATGACCTCTGATCCCCTTTCAAAATTCTATTTTGTTTAGTTTCGCCTTTTATCGATTTGTTTGTTGTAAGATTTTAAATTTTATTTATTTGTATTTTACATATTAAGAAGTTGATTCAGATCATAATGTTATTCAACTGTCTAACAGCCTTACACACCTATTTTTCAAATATCTTTATTCACTTAAGACATGAACGAACCGTGACATTATCAGATGCAAAGGTTGCCTGTAGAGAGATTCGATGCAGCAGATATATATTGTATTTTAGACATAATATAAGTAACACTGCATAGCCTACCGACATTAAATATGAAACATTAAGACTTACACGTGTTCATTAAAATTTGCTCTAGTTTAAAGTACAGCTTACATTAAGTGTTATCATTTTTGTATTATTTATTATTTTTGAATATATACAATTCTAATGTAAATAATATTGCATATTAATTAAGATGTGGAATCACATTTATTATATCCCTTTTACTGTGATGCAAGTTTAATCTGCTAGTACTGTGCTACCTATATTGACCGCCTCCGTGGTCGAGGGGTTAGAGTCGATGACTTCTAATCCGGTTACCTCTCTGGCGTGTGTTCGATCCCCGGGAGATGCTTTGGTAGTTTAGCGCGGAGGAAGGTAGTCTAGTACTGGTGTAACTCTCCAGGAACGATGGTTAGGAAACTACCCGCCTATATGACTGAAATACTGTTAGAAAAAGGCGTAAAATGAAACAAACAAACAAACAAGCTACCTATATTGAATAACTAACGCTCATGTTTCTTACTTTCCTGTGTTCTTTATAAAATATTTGGTATATAAAAACCTTTACATGATAAGAACTCATGCAAGTACACCAAACTTGTGAAAACTTGAAGCATTTTTAAAGGGACTCCACTGAGGTTTAAAGCCTAAAAACTTAACATTTGAATTTCTTACATAAATGAGCTATGGCACTTTAAACAGAATTATATACAAGATAGTTAAGAAATATACTTTTAAATAAATTGAAAATCGTATTTTTAGGCTTTTGTTAGCCCGATTTCGGTGAAAAGCGTTTAAACGCTTTTCATTTTGAGTCACTTTTTACAATTTGAAAAATTATTCTGGAAAAACGAAGAGCGCAAATGATCTGAAATTTTGCACAAGATTAGTGGTCTAAACCTACATCAAATTGAACATTTATCTGAAAAAAATATATTCAGTCCCATCATGTCAAAAAACTTCAGTGGAGTCCCTTTAAGGTTCTTTTTTTTGACAGAACAGAACCTTATTATTTCAAACGAGTAAATAGACGTATGAGAGAACGGAATAAATGGAAATGTCAATTACATGACATGTGTTTGTGTGCAAACAGTATTACAAAGCGATATTTTGTAGTCATTTAAAATTTTCTGTTCTATTAGTTGATTATCAATGTTCATATAGCAACCAATCATCTCAATTTTTATTTATCATGCTATAAGTTGTATATATAATATATATAACGGGATGTTATCATTATAAAAAAAGAATATTCATATAATTAATCAAAATGAAATGGTCTGTAAAAAGTAAATTGATACGCACATTGTTTTCTCGTTTAGTTCACGTGGGAACCAGGAACCGCTTTTATGGAATGATACGAACGTGTCAGCTTGAAGGTTACATGATAAACGCCTTATGAACGCATCTGCGGATGTTTCTAAACGCAAAATTTCACCATTTTCATGTTTAAATAATGAATTCTGCTGAAGCCGATGCTAGGGGCGTGGACGGTAACTTGCACTGTCTAGTATCGTCCATGAACACACTCCTGTATTTTACTTGACTGTATTCTTTTATTATTCTTTTATTCCAATATTTTATAAATGAAAAAAAAAACTTACAAGATAAAATCATAAACAAGTACATCAAAACTTGTGAAAACTTAAAGTATTTCTTTTGGTTACTCTTAAAAAAGGACTTTATTACCATTAGCAATAAATAGACAAATAAGATTACGGAATAAATGCAACATTTCAAATACATGACATGTGTTGTGTGCAAACAGTTTAATAAAGCGGTATTGTTTAGTCATTTAAAATGTTCTGTTCTATCAGTTAATTCAATATGGATATAGCAATCAATGATCTCAATATTTTATTCATCATTCTTTTTGGAAAAGTAATTAGTTATATGTATATAGGGATGTAATCATTTTTATCAACAACGGAATATACACATGATTTCTTTAGATAAAATGATATGTAAAAAGGAAATTGTTGCGCCCATTGTTTTCTCGCTTATTTCACATACTTTTTAACGCGGTGACCTTTAACCGTTTTATTTTATGAAATGACACGAACATGTAAGCGATAACCACCTTATAAACACATCTGATTTTATTTATACTACATGCAATCATTAAGCCATCAATAATATTGTTCAGTTTTAATATGAAAAACACACAGTTCAGTATTTGTGTGATAAAACCTTTGTGCTTTGACATTGAGCAGAATAATATACATATATTGCTGTTTTGTGCCTTTTTTAGGGCTGTTAATGTGCCTGCATGTTCTATTTTTATATTTTATAAGTTTTTTCAAAAAAAATTTAAGTGTTGTTGTTGGATATTTTACTTGTTGTTGATGAATTTATATTTTTTTTTGTATTTTTGTTTCTTTTGCATGTCTTAATTTACAGAATCAAGCTTTTATTATCCGGATCTATGATTTTGTTTTGACAAATAATTTCTATATTTGTGATTCTACCTTTGTGACAATCAATAATGTAACATGATAACATAATATTTATTATAGATATATTGAGTCATTTGTTTTTACCTTTTTTAAAATGGGTCTTTTTGTATGTTTTTTTATCTTGTGTGTGTGTGCGCACGTGTGTGTGTGTGTGTGTGTGTGTGTGTGTGTGCGTGTGTGCGTGCGTGTGCGTGTATTCTGTTTTAGTTATTTTTGTATCGATTGTTTGTTGTTGGATTTTGAATTTTATTCATTTGTATTTTACGTCCCTTAGGATGCAAGTTTTAATTGCAAATACTGTGATACCTATATTGGCTAATACTGTAATACCTATATTGGCTAATACTGTGATACCTATATTGGCTAATACTTTGAAACACATATTGGCTAATACTGTGATACCTATATTGGCTAATACTGTAATACCTATATTGGCTAATACTGTGATATTATTTTTTTTGATTTGTATCAGAAATCTCATTCTGTTCTTGTTTTATATCAGATACATCATTCTCTATTTGTTTTTATTAGATATCATTCTATAGTTGCTTTTATCAGAAATATCATTTTCCAGTTGTTTTGTATCAGAAATATCATTATCTATTTGTTTGTATCGGCCATGTCATTGTCAATTTTTCATTGAAATTTTGTTCTGTATCACAAATATTATTCTCCTTTTCTGGTATCAGCAATTTATATTTGTTTCGCATAATCAGCAATATCATTCTCTTTAAATTTTTGTCATAGGTATTCGTATAAA